CTGATATCCTGGGGGAGCGCATTCCACAAAAAAATAGCTTGTACGAAAAAGGAAGAATGAAGGAAGTCAGTACGGTGAGTAGGACATTGGAGAAGTCGATTATGAGAAGAGCGAAGATTTTTATTGTGGTTTGCGCATATGTATTGGAAGTAAGGGGATAGATAATCCGGGGAAGAAGGAGATTCTAAAAAGGAGAATAGGAGAATTTACAACCGCCTTCATCTTTCTGGATTACATTAATTAATAAATCATTGCACGTTGATGGTTGAACCAAAGAAAAAAGAACCTTAGGGACAATATTAAGCCAATTTAGAGCTGATCACTCCCAATTGAATTGGCGAGATTGGCAGAGTTGGTCAAGTGGGAGGCACTTGGTAGATCTATCGGATTTGATTCACTGTTAGAGCAAATATTCATATGACCTTTAAACATAACAAAATATACTTTGCTCCGTGATTTCTGAGTGCATTTGAAACATTTTTTTTAATTGGGGAAAATCATCGAATGACTGCTCCAGTCTGGGTGATGCGGGAGGGAGTGTCAGGCTCTTACTGACTAAAAACCACCCCGTTCCTTCTCCTGCTCGTCGAGCCGGAGCCCCGGTTACCCGTTAGGTTCTCCGCGACGCAATTGAAACATAAAAACCTTTTTTTGTTAATTATAAGATTTGTGCAATGGGTTTATGTTGTTTCTTTTTATGTGTTATTTACATTTAAAAAACTTTAATTTAATTAAATTAAGATAACACTACCGTAACACGGTCATTATTGCCGTTATACTTTATACTAAATTGTGGGCAATGGTGTGGGTTACTTACTGTAGCTGTTGTTCAGTGTAAGACTTTTTATGTATATAAATTAAAAAAATAATAAACGAATACAAAATTTTCGTCATAATTTTTCGAAGGTTTCAAAAGATATGCTGAATTCTTATTTATTCATTGCATGTCATGTAAATCTCCTTCATCTTTTTATCTTAGTAAGACAAAATTATCTACAAAAAATAATCTGTATCTATGTCATCATAAATAATGTCTAAATGTACAAATAAGTAGGTACAAGAGTTACGCTAGTACTACGCCTTACGTAAATCAACTGTTATCAATAAATAATAATCATTATTATAAACTTTGAAAGCATGCTAATAAACAATTATTGTTGTCAATAACTGCGACATAAATAAATAAATAATACTACCTCTAGTCAGCAACTCGAGTAGTTTGCTTGAAAAATGAAACTCCGGGCGAAACATTTCTTTACACATAAAATCTAACAAAATTGTCACAAAATACCAAAAACAATAAAAAGACACTGGCACTTAATAAACTAATTTTCAAATTTAGAACCTTCCAAAGTTGTCAATTTACGAAACACACGACAAACACAAAATATGAAATTCGAACTTTGCGAAATTGCCGCGTTTTTTAACGTTTTTAATTTAAAAATTTGGAATCCAAGTTTCGTAGGTGACGTCACTTGTGTTATGTCAAACGAAATATTAGTGTAACATGGAACGACTGATTGTCGCCAACTGTTTAATTATGCCGACTGTCCCGATTCATTAGTGCACTATGGCTTCAGGGACGGCTTTCAGACGATTTTTTATCTTTCTCCTTATTTTGTCCAGTAGATTTCCAGAAATGTGGTACGTATAATTTTGTTTATTTAGTAGAATAAAGTATTTAAGTGTATGATAACTTTAAATACAATGTTCGTATAGGAATAAACGTGTGCTTTTGGCTGGAATTGATTTAGATAAATGATTTTCATTTGCAAAGTAAGTTGTTGATGTTTATTTGAACAAGTTAATTCACTTGTCCCTCAAAAATAGGTATTCTTAAATGTAATCTAATTTTAAAAAAACTCTCATACTTAAATCATATCACATCGTTAAGAAGATAACCCATCTGATATTTTACTGCTTTAACCTTATCAAAGAATGCATAAAACAAGTACAACAAACAGATAGGCCAGATAATTACCAGTTAAATTGAATAACCGAGTCCATTTCTGTGTATAAAATAAAAAAACAAATACCTATAAAAAAAACGTTTAAAAAAATCAAGCTAACATAATCATTTTTTGTAAGTCCCAAGTACGGCCCACGAGTCGTCTGGAGAGGTCAGGGTTGCCGACGCTCGTCTTTTGACCCTCATATATCCATCCTTCACTTACACACTACAATATTCTATCTCTATCCCTGTCACACAGGCCGCGACACTTTGCTTGACTTTTAACCCTTCACGTCATTGTCATCACTATCCTTTTCACACACATCAACTTTTTAATATTGCCGTTTCATTCAGACAGGTTACGACATATCGGTCGACATATGACCCGAGCATCGGTGGTTCTCTGTCCTTTTTTATCGTTTGTTATATATGTATGTGTGTCCTTGTCTGCGGTGTCACGACCCTTATACGACTAGCCACTTGAATAGATTAGGTGTTTTCGTACGAATGCGGGTTCAATATTCATTGATAATCGGTTCGTTGGCATTTTATATGCAAGAAATGTATGATTGTTTCCTTTAACATTTGTTTAAATCACATTTTTGTGTATGTATAATACGAACTGTAAATAACTCTTCTGCGATTGTCTCGTTGATCTAGAAGTTACTAGTGTGACTGCTGAGCAAGGGGTACTTTGATAGGGCCCTGGATCTTATTGAATTTGTCGATTTCAAGCAGATACAAGATTTCAAGCTCGCATAAAAGTTGAGTATCTTATCGAGAATTTTATCAGTCCCTCAATCTACAAATAATGATAAGAACATATATTATAATTAATTATGTTCCACAAATCTCGAGGATATCTTAAACAATAACTTTCATAAGTAGGATGTGATATTCAGTATCGGGTTATATTCTGCCACAGTTGCGCAGTGATTGGGTCACTGGCTGCTGTGCAACCTGTCACGAATTCAATGTCTGCGCTGGATAAAAATTGGCAATGGTAAGGCGCAGTCTGGAATTTCGGTAATATTTAACGTTAACCTCTGTCTAGCTCAGAGAACACTCGACGTCAAATTAACCAAAAACGGTTTACAATACTTGACTTAAATTGTTTTGACGTGAACAATTATGACGTACCATTTTTATTTTCATCGACTTTTTGATGTGAATGTGTTCAATAAATGCTTATTGCG